AGTGAATTTCGGATTAGATGCATTTATAAGTTTATCCTTTTTATATACTGGAAGTTTAATGCAAAGTGTCAACTTTTTTTTAAAAAAAAAGAACATACATCCTGTGAACTCTTTTATGAGACAATGTTTCTAGAATTACTTCCTGCATTTTTTTACAAATATTTGATTTTAATACTTTCCATTTTCATTGATGAATCGTTAACATTTTGATCTTATCTAGGCGTATTTTCAAGCCAGGCTTTTTTCAATCAGTATTTCATTTACGTAGATAAGAAACTGATTATATTTTACTTTCGGTAATTTGTTCCATTGTTGAGAGAGTAAATGAATTATAAAAAAGTTTTTAGTTCTTTAATGAAATTATGGCGAATTGTTATTCCTTCTAAATAAGATTGTAGATGTTATATCTGATGGGATGGAGGTCAGATTGTTAAGCGTTTTGTAATTAAACCAGTTTGTTTATCATTATGTACCTGGGGACGACGGGGGAAACACGTTGAAACGTTGCATAAAACTTTAAACCAGTGATTGTTGTTCCATAAAGATGTGTCTATATATTGATACTGTTTGTCCCAGGACAGAAACCTGCTGAACACCAGATGAGACCATGTTGGATTCCGGGGAGACTCTTAGATTATTCTGAAACGATTCCTACAGATCCCCTCTGATCCCAACGACCCCAAGTACATGACAGAGTTCAGAATGCCAAACTCTCTAAAATTCTTTTCTGATGTCGCAGAATACTGCCTAGTATATCGTTGCTGATCAACGGTCTGGCCGAAAAAGTGTTCAAGATCTTCTATTTGATCTTGTAGATGCGTTTGTGAAGTATTACTATGAACTATATGAAAATATTTTGTAAAAGTGTTAATATGACGGTGTTTTTTTCTATGGCCTTATTACTTCGAATGTTAAGTTCTCATTCTTTAATATATTAAAATCACTTCTATGTTGATAAAATGTTAAATTTAGTAAGAGAAAAATTCAAGTACCTGATAACAATGCAATAGACAGCCAGTTTAGTAATTGACATTGAACAATAGCCTATTTCTATTTCCAATTCTATTACAAGTTTTGTCACCCCAATAAACCACCTACAAGTATTTAATGAAATTATGACAAATCTCGAGAAAATCAATCTTCTCGTCACACCTTTCAAAATTTTAACAAAACAGTCCTTCATGAAATTATCATTTTCACACAAACCACTCGGACTAATTAAAAGATTTACGATTTAAAGTGTTAAAATGGAATTAAGTTCTTTAATGAAGCGAGTTATTGACTCGAATATAGAGTGCTTGTTAATTCTAGGTCATGACATAGGTGGACGCCAAGATGACGTTTTGAATCCCATTTTCTTCATTATAAGTATTAAGGAATATGCAAAATAACAGTTTTGCGCCCTAGAGTCACATATTACAATATTTTTGTGAAGTAGATTATTGATGGATACATGTATTTTTTAAAATTTCGCGTGTAAGAAAATCGTAATACGATAAACCTAATAATGAAATGAAAAAGGAAAGTTAATATAAAGATCAAGTGAAATATTTTATTCAATTTTTTGTCAAAAGCCGACGATTGGAACATGACTATATGTATACTCTTACTTAAATTTTTAATAACATTTTCTTTATTGGAAAACTTTTATTAATCTTGTAAAAGAAATCGGCGATGATGAAGGTACAGAGATTACAAGGTTTTCAGTGAAAAGAAGAGATGTTAAGAAAGAGGTTATCAGTGCACCTATTCAAGTCGTAGACCACCACTATTTACAGCTAAGTACCTCAGATTCCAATGAAGCAAGACATCCGGATTACTCGCTTGATTGAAAACTTTCATTATTAATATATGTAATAAAACTAGACTGCTCTACATTAAAGGGAAATTCTCTTCTAATGATTGTGTTTCTCGGAAACTATAAGATACTAGAGTATCGTGCAAATTTGCATCAAATAAAATGTCGATTATCTTGTCTCAACAAGTATCTATAAACAAAATTCAAAGCGTCTCTATTGTGGCTGCAAAATATGTACATTTAAAAGTGCATTAAATATAACAATACGTGTCGTGTTAAGAAGATGGTTTTAGGTTGTACATTGAAGTTCTTGGTGCGCTGGACTCAAATGTACATTTTCACAGGTAATGCGTAGATAATGATGGTAACAACTTTATGCAGTATTCATAATATTTTCTTCAATGGACATCCTTTCCCATCATTATTCAAATCAACATCTGATTATACTTCAAAAGTACACTCAATTCAAAATTTATTCAACTCTCATGCATTTTAATTTTGATTTTTGACGGTAGGCCTACATAATTGAAATTTGACTGGGTTGCTATTCAATGGAGAATAATTCTTTCACAGGTGCAGGGACCTACTTGAATGTGTCAGCGATTAAAGGTTTATGGTGTCTAGATTTATTGAAATTGGACATAAATTAAAAAAGAGGCGATGATACATTAAAGATTAAAGATAAAGTATTGATTTGACTCGAGTAACATATTAACAGCAATATTTATTATGCGAGTTCAATATGTTTATTTATCAAGCATTGTGTGTAAAAAGAATATATAATTAAGGATGATAAAATGTTACAAAGTTGAAATGAAATTATACACAAATCCTAATAATTGATGCTTAGATAGGAATATAAAATCTTGTAGAACTACCTATTAATTATGATTATACAGCAAAATTACCATCAGGAAGTAACCCGCGATTGTTTAAATTTGGGAACATGTCTCTTTAATGCATGTCGTCAGATCATGGTACGAGTGCAATAAACCACTCTGATATCTAAAATTCTAAAATGATAATTTTAACAAAATCTAATTATTTAAACTGTATATATTGCTAAAAGAATTTTAAAACCTTATTTTTGTTCATAAAAAAGTGAGTTTTCGGAGAATAGAGACCATTTTTCATGAAGAAAATTGAATAATGATGTAAAAAATATAGAACGAAATAAATTTATTCTGGTTGTTACAAAGCTGAATAATGATTAACCCCGATTAGAGTTCTCTATAAAAACCAAATCTAAAATACAATTGATGGGGTATTGACAATTTTTATAGACGTGACACGGGGTCAACTATAAAATGCTTCATCGAATCGGATTATTTACCATAAAATTGTGTTTTGTGTCTAGCTTTAGTTTATTTACTCCCCAATATTCAACTATTATGTATCGTGAGAAAGATACTAACACTGGCAAATAAATCGCTCTATTAAACACTATTAGGTTTTTTTTCTTTCAAGACGAAACTGTGGTCTTACTTTATTGTATAACTGTTTTATAGTTTTAAACATTTGAAATTTTTAAACGAAGCACAACGTAATAATGCAGTCTAATAAGTCTTCATCCAATGCGTTGAAATAATTTAGTTTAACATCATTTTGAGGTGCTTTTCTAGTGATTTCTATTTTGCAAGTACTATTCTTTTTGACGATTTATTTGAATATTAACTGTTCTGCGTTAAGATATCAGCAAACTGGAAAAGAATGTCAACTTGTCACTAGTGTTGAAACGTCTGGTGAATCTGACTAACCGAGGGTCTTTTTTTTTTAGCTATATTTGATTTTCCCTTATGGCCGCTTTTTTAAACTGTGATTCTGAGTTATTTATACGATCGATCAGGAACAGAATGAAAAATCTTTATTCCGTTAATTGCAAAAAAAAAATCCTTATTCGCGTTTATTTGTTAAAAAAAAAATCCTTTGCGCGTTTTTATTCTCTATCTTTTAGAATTTCTACAATATTAAGGAATATAAACTATGTTAAGAGATGAGTGAACTAAATAAATAATTTTCATGTTGGCTTAAAAACTCTCAAGGTTTTCGTTTCTGAAATGGGCGGCATCAAATCAAATCAATTTACTGTAGTTCAATGTCTGCATGTCGTATATTATTACTTGTTGAGTATTGAAGCAAGATAAATGAACAACAATATTTATAACCTTGAAATACTGTCGGCAAAGGAAACACCAGGTGCCTCGTGTGTGGTGGATAATTAAATTCAAATCTTCGACTAAAGTTTATGATATTTGTAATTGGCTCACTGCTTGTCGGCGTTTTAATCCAGTCTATCTATTGTATGGGATATGTTGATGTTGAATAAATGGGTTGTAGACGGGATTAAACCAGGAAATCTTCCATATTGTAGTCAGATCAAAAGTAAGTCTGGTTTATGCAGTATCAAGAATTATATATCACTAAAGATGTCTGCATTATGAATAATGATAAAGAAATTAAGAATGTAGAGCGAGATAATACAGAGCTAATTAATTCGTCCAGGCTTATATGTAGACATTGCCAATACAATCTCATTAAGTTACCCTTTTCATTATGAATTACATTATGAATTGTTTTTATCTCAAGATATATCTAATGTTTATATACTAAATATGTTTTAATCAGTAAGTGTCACATAGACCAACCTTGGCTGAGAATCTTATTGTTATATCTATATATGTTTTATATTTATGTATCTGATTTGTGACACTATTAATAAACTAAATTATTATTACTATTATCATTCAAACGTAAACGCTAGATAGATATTCTGCAGACCGTTATTTTTATTTGCTTAATCAGATTATGACGTTATTACTTGATAATAGACGATGCACTTTGCAAAGCTTATATCAGCTTCTGATACTATTGTTATGACATGCAATACATCATATCTAATTCCATTGATTCCAAATGTATTGGAATTTTGATTCTAAAGCAGTGACAGACAATTTACCATTCCAATCCGGCAAATATATTATGAGCACATCCGGGATTCCAAACAAATGCACCTGCATTCCACTTTACTTAAGATATTTTGAATTATACTAAAGGCAAAGCTATTTCAATTACCTTTTGTTCCACCTCAAAATCAAGTAGACTGTTCGTGATACTGTTTGGAATTGTTCCCGGACGTGCGCGAATATATTTGCGGGACTATACGTCTTTACAGTTAAACTGACAAATCAGCATACGTTATAATATGTTCATAATCTATAATTTATTCAATTCTTATATAAATTGGGGTTGGCATCACAGTCACACAGGAGTAGAAAAATCATATATCTACTTATTCAAATATTTCTCTCCGAGGTAAACAATAAAATAAATAATAAACATAAACAAAACATAATATTCACAAAATTAAATTTCTTGCACAATAATTTCTCATAGGCCTATAAACATAAAAATAATCTGTATTGCATTAAGTCCTCTTGATTTGATCGTAATGATTCCTCTGTTTATTATGTAATTGTGGAAAATGAAATAACAGTTAAAATGTAAACGGTGGCTCTAATGGGTACTGCTGCCACGAATTGATACTGGTGCTATGGTATCCAGAATTGGTTCTCGTAAAAGCTTGTGGGAATGTAGGCAGTCCAGATTGTCCAAATTGAGTTTGTTCAGGTTCTATAATATTTCTGTAATTCACTGGGTCAAATTCATGTTGAAAATTGTCTAAATTAGCATTATATGGAAACAATAAGGGGTTTGGTGTGTCTTCTTGAATAAATGGACTGTTCGCAGATACACTATTTAAACAAGGCGACCATGATGGGCTTCTAGTCAAAGGATTGGGAGAAGTTGCACAAAAACTGTCCGAATCTGAGAAAGATCGAGAACTACATGTATCTACACTACCGTCACTTCCAGGCGTACGAACAGATTCACGGGATGTTTCGGGCCACGTTCCAGATAAAAGTTCATTGAGATCGTTATGTCCTAATATTGATTCCAAAGTGTCTGTTGGAAGCGTACACATTTGACTGTTGGCATCCATAGTCGACATCGCGTCCACTTGAACAAAACTACCCAGGCCTACGTTATTTTTACCGGAACTTGGTTCACTAAAGAATGATGCTGGGAGGTTTCTGGCTCTCATTGGAGCTTTTGGTAGATTAAATGTGGTCCTCTGCTGTCCATCGTGTCGGTGCTGATCATGAAGAGTTCTAGGATCAAACAGAGCCTGTAGAGATTTGATCTGTAATCCAATCTGATGAGTCTCCTTTCTGGAACTTTTGGCCACGGTCTTGGACAGATCATCTTTACCTCCCGGCTTCTTGGAATCACAGCGTTTCAATTGCTTTTGTAGATATTTTCTATGATTCACACGGCGTTTTGATTTAGATGGTCTGTCAAGAGCCATTTTAATATTACTAGAGGCCATATCCACGAAATTCAGAAGATTAACTGTTTCGTCACTTTGCCCGAAATCCGACATCGCTGTTTGTATATCCATGTTGGAAATGAACCACCTTTCTCTCACACCTTGACTGGGACTGTGTCAAATAAAGTTATATCAAATCCCTTTTCAACAATACTTTTCACACAGAAAGGCCGACCAAACTCAGTAAAGCCATAAAACCACCCCCTTAAGCTACCTGGACGAGTTTTACTAGTAAATGCTAGTTTGACGTAGCTTGATTGACAGGTAGAGCAATTACATTTACAATACATTCAACTATTGAGTGTCTTTGGCAAAGATTTTCATTCATAAATCACACGATGATATCTTTATTTGAATTCGAACGGGTGTGGCTTATTTCGAAGGCGGTGTCAATTATTTGAATTTCTGATTCCAAAGCATTTGCAATCATATGACCCATTTTGCAAATGTTCGTTAATCCACCCATACCAGTTAATCCGGGCATAATAAAACAATATAAATCCAACCAGAAATAGTTTAATATAGATTGTTTAGATGCAAAAAAGGTTTCAGGCTTAGACATAAATGTGCAAAGGATAGCCTTTATTGCCACTGAATGCATACATCATATGGAGATAATTTAGTTTTCCCAAAAAATAATAATGTTCTGTTGATAAAATTGTGATTTTACTTTCTCAATGGTACTTGTCAACATCTTATGAATAGCTGCTGTAAATTTACATAGGTACAAATATTTATCACAATCCATATGATAGTTTTAGCGGCATTTATTAAATTCTTTGATTGGATGAAATTTATCTCTTTAGCATCACATTTAAACATAAATTATTTCATCTGAGTGGTGTGAGTAAACATTTCCTATCTATTTTGTTTACACTCGTTTACATTGTATTGTTTACGAACCTGTGATTAATGGAGCATCGTATGATTTGTTTGCATTGTGTTATTAATCTGTTTATTTTTAATTATTAACGTCTTGAAGGTGAAAGGTTGTGTGTATTTTGTACAAAACATCTAAAAACGTTTCTATATAAAGGTCCTAATAGGTTTCTGTGAAGAAAGGTCAGCGTGATTTATGCTACAAGGTCAGGAATGTGCAAACATACAGTCTTGAAATAAATCTACATTTCCAGAAACATTAGCATCTTTAAATACCCTTTGAACTTTCAACTGATTAGGGCTAATGAATAAAAGCCAAGGTCCTATAAGAAGGTGAAATGCTGATACGAAATTGTTCATTCATGCATGTAGACCTACCTATAGGCATTCGATAAATATGGTGTTCTATTGGGTTTAGTGCAGAAGTCTTGCAGGTTGATAACGTTACTATTTCCTTATGATCTTAATCTCGTTCGGATGGGACAATAAACCGAGGCCCCATGAGCTATAGGCTGTGCATGTTAAAGATCCCTCGACAGTTGGAAATCGAAAAAGAGCAGGCTAATGCCGCTGTCCTGGCAAAATTTCCCTCATTGCATCCTGCATGGCGTTGTCCGTCTTCATTAGACCACATGGTGCAGTAAGACGTAAAACTTCATTCATTTCATTTTCATTTTATTATGATCTTATTCAATATAATAACTCAAGTGTTGAAACACGTATTAAAACCAACGAACCTTTCCATGTTTTCTGTTTTTTGAAAAATAAATCTTTTCTTGCTATCTGTTGTAACCATGCCGATTATTTTCAATTTCCATAACCACTGTAATAACCAAAGAAATCTTTTTATGCCTTTCTTTTGAACAGAACCAATTTTTGTCTCTTCTTTTCAGTTTTGATTTTAACCAAAACAATCTTTCCATTGTCCTTATTTGACTATATTTCTCTTATAGCCTACAACTCTTAGCCTACTATTTCTTAGCATAATCAATTTTGGTTCCAACCTGTTTTAATCAACCAATCTTTCTTTGATATCTGTTTTAAGCAACCAATCTTTCTTTGCTATCTGTTTTGACCAAACCAATCTTTCCTTGCTATCTGTTTTAACCAACTAATCTTTTCTTGCTATCTTTGTTAACAAACCCATTGTTCTTGTTCTCTGTTGTAACCAACCAATCTTTTCTTGCTATCTGTTTTTATCAACCAATCTTTCCTTGCTATCTGTTTTAACCAACCAATCTTTTATTGCTATCTGTTTTAACCAACCAATCTTTTATTGCTATCTGTGGTGACCAACCAATCTTTTATTTTAGCTATCTGTTGTAACCAACCAATCTTGTATTGCTATCTGTGGTAACCAACCAATCTTTTATTTTAGCCATCTGTTGTAACCAACCTATCTTTTTTTGCTATCTGTTTTAATCACCCAATCCTTTCTTGCTTCCTGTGTTAACCAACAAATTTTAGCCACGCAATTGGTTGTAGCAAGGTGTGCCATTTCGATGTTTCGCAGAGTTTGCGACCTGTTAGTGCACTGCACCCACATGAGTAACGCACTGTATACGAAATGTACGATCACAAATTGGCTGCAATGACACTTTGACAATCAATGGCACTAATGTCGACTAACATTGTGCCAAGTTTACACAGTGTTTGAGTGAAATGCATATGGTGTCACATTGTTGAAAATCTTTTGCATGCCGAAGTGTGTCAGAGAGAAATCGTGCGAGTGTCAGGGTGGCTTTAATGCAGCTGTCGTTGTAAAACTGTATAGTGAACCAAAAACTTTATTTTCAGTTAAAAACATGCTTACTTTATATGTAGACTTATTTTTTTTATGATAATATGCTATCTACCATAATCATTATTTTAGGCGTTTTTTACACGGAACAAATGTAGTCAAGGATCAAAACAGAATTTTTATGATTTTCATATCAGGATCAATTATTAATGTAACATTAGAAATGTTGTTCGAAATGAAATGTTTTTAAGTAGTTATTATCTATTGTCTAAAAGTACATTTAAAACTTCAATAGAAGTGTTTGATAGGTTTTTAATGAGTCCATATGAATTTTATGAAGCGAAATGCTGTCAATCATAACAATAATTCAGCTTTTTATAATGTCAAATTTCATTTACATAATATAGACAGCTCTTGTTATAATTGACGTATGTTGTTCAATTTTTGATATTATATAGTATGAGTAATAAACATGGAATGTTGTTTTCTGTCTGTGAAATCCTATAGCACCATGACCATCCCGTATGGAATTCGATCAAATTGCTTTAATTTGTTCGATCGTAAGAATATATTGAGCATGCTACCTCTACAATGAAGAGAACCATTTTATGTTCTTATAAAGTCAATGTGACTGATTACATCATGTCATATCATTTTAGAATGGACAGCTATCGACGGGTTAACCTCCAACTTAAAAAAAATTGGTTATATCGGTTAATGCTACTGTCCGGTTTTATTATTTGTAGACAGACCGAATTCCAAATTTTAATCTTGGAAAGGGATATAGTGCTATATTTATAACTTACTTTCATCTGAAGGAACAAAACAAAACAAACAAACAAATTGAAAATCTAATAATAAACCACCGGAGTTGTCAATAATTAAAACGTCTCAATCGGGTTCCTCTTATAATATACTCTACATATAGGACAATAAGCGATAGTACGAACTTTCCTGATCTTTCAATTAGTATAGCAAAACGTCAATTGTCTAAAAACGTGTCATGATGAATAGAAAGTTACACCAGTGAAATTGGTTTATTACAAAACTGTCAATTACTATGTCAAGTTATGTCAATGAACTTTCATTCAAAAACATGATCCCACACGATTCACCACAATTATTCTATACCATTTCATTTCTTTTTAGGTCAAAGATATAATGATACGAACTAGACAACAGGTTGCACAGTCGGTTGAAATGAATATTTCACTATGCCGTCGTGGTCATGATATTTTCCCAAGGTTAAAAGCAGGAGACATATTTTATCTCAGTTTCTTGTATTTATATATGTATGTAGCCAACTCTTCACACCACTAAATGCCAAATGATTCTTTCAGAATTTTAGAAGAGTTTTCTATTAGCTACTTTGTAGCATACGCATACACATAGGGTACGCAGGGATTGAATATAAAAATTGCATGATGGTTGTTTTACAGTTGCCTATTTGAAATTTGAAATACGCTTACATGTCTCTTTCCTTCAAACCAACTTAAGTATTTCATATTATAAACTTAAAACTAAGTAGAATATTGAAGCGCATAAGAGTAACAGGTAGATGACTGATTGTTCAAAACTTGAGCTTTTTAATATTCACTAGCTTCTTTCTCATGTAATGAAGCGGAAAAACGACGCTAATTCGTTGACTAAATGTCGATTCAATAACTGAAGGCACTTACAAATCAACTTAAATATATTCTTAAGAAATAAATTTGATCTTGATGAAAAGCCTCATAAATGACAATCGGGTCTTCTTCGTTGTTAACAATACGTTGTATATATCTAGATTTTTTGTAAGTATAAATAAATAAAAATGGCTTACAAGATTTTGACAGTAAAACTGAAAGAATAGATTTTATTGAATATATCAACCCTTCATAAATGGTGATTAATTTGCTAAATACACTAGGACTTGATTGTCTACTATTTTTATTGAGAGTCTTTTCAACTTGAAAAATATATACATAGATCGTGCAGGTGTGTACCACCTTAAAGGTGACAAAAACACCAAAAGGCCAATATAATTATAGAAATTATGTCTCTACGTACATGTAGTCCGTAAAACGGTACAGTCAGCTTATACGGAATACGCAATGTTGTTACACATGTCTCGTTGACCCACCCAAACATTATCCAGTTTTAATAACATTTGCAGATTAACGGGATACAATCGTCCGAATATTTGATTAACCAGCTGATTAGCTGCCTACCACCAATTTGTATCCCTTTTCCCAATTCAAATCCGTCGCATGGTATTCCTGCTATTCAACCAAAACGTATTTTTGAGTATACCGTAGTATTCTCATATGTAGATGTTACCCAAAGGCATATTCATGCTTTGATGTTACCTATATCATGACGTCATCGACATTCAGCAATTATTCAGTCGACTATAGACCTAGGTCTACAATGTAAATTCTCACTTCGCTCTGAATCTAGACAAAACGAATATGAAACGACATTCACCAACATTGTACACCAAGTTT